AAGCTCTGTCTTGCCAAAAATAATATATTTTACTAATTTCCCCATCCATCCTATTTTTTTTATTTTTTATTATTATTTTCTTTTTGGAAAAGTAAATACTGCTTGTTTTATTTGACTCATTACCCTGTTTTTTATCTTTCTATTATGTATATATTCATTTTTATACTGCATTTTATTTGAGTAATTTGATTGTTCTTGTACATTATAACCCAAAAAATGTAATTTAAGTATGTTTATATGCAGATCAACTAATTTCAGTGTTTAATTGAAAAAAGTGTGTTAATTTAAGAAAGCTAACAAACCAAACATTTATATAATATCTTGTGCATTTAAAGTATTTATGCACATTAACTTTAGAGTTAATTTTATACCCGTTTATAAATTCCAACTGCACTGCATAAATCATTTGACATTAAAGCTGCAGTCCGTAACTTTTGGCGCTCTAGAGGTTAATAAACAGAACTGCGTGCGTCTTGCGGAAGAACATTGTAGCCGGAGCTACTTCTCTCTGTTTATGTCTATGGCGAATCACGCAGGTACTGGGTTACTCCGCAGCGGTACCTACCCGAACCAGTCTAAATAGTAGTGATTCAGGACAAGCCAAAAACACGGTTTGGAAAATGGATTCATGGTGTACTCGCTTATTATATACATTTTGAACACAAAAAAAAGTTACGGACTGCAGCTTTAAATAAAAATGATACATAAATTCCCTGTATTAAAACAGCATGCTTGTTCAGATTTTGTAGCAATAACTTTGAAGCATTTTCATATTGGACTGTATGTTCAATTTAAAAATCTAATTTAAAATTAAAATATATTTAACATAGACCCAGCCTATAGGAGTCTTTAGAGGTTCTCTTTCAGCCAGTGGATGTAGTTCCCAAGACTTCGTCTTCCAACAGAAAACGCAAAGGGTCCAAAAGCGAAACTGAGGCATCCATGAAAACCATCTTCAAAGTGATCAACAGTGACGTCAACTCCGGCCTCCTCCAGTCGCGTGGCATACATGAGTCCGTCGTCTCTCAGCACGTCATGCTCACAGGTCATGATGTAAGCGGGCGGCACGGCCTTCAGCACTTTTGTTTCAGCTAGTAGAGGCGCCGCTCTCACATCCAGCAGACCTGGCAGCTTCTCCAGCAGCTTTGGGTCGCCGTGAAGCGGAAACACAGGTTTATAGCTCTTCTGGAAGGCCACCGGAAGAAGCTTGGTCCAGTCAGTCTTGGCTTTGGCCGCTGCTATCTCCTGACCCTGATCCAGAGCCGTGTGGTTGTTTGCCAGCAAAGCAGGAACAAGTTTCTGCTCGCCGTTTAGATACTCCAGCCAAAAGCGGGCCATCATTGGTCTGTCTAGGATGGGCATGTTGGCATTCTGCTGGTACGAGGGGGTGTTGAAGTCCAGGGCCTGAAGCGCGGGGTAGACCAGGGCCTGAACTTTAAATTTAATAGGAATGCTACTGTCTAAAGCCACCTGTGAGAACAGAAAAACAAAGAAATGTGATTATTAGCAATCTTTTACGATGAATAACTTTAATAACATACTAAGGCACACTAGTAAACAAAACATATTTAACAATATTTAGGTGTTTGTTGTTATTTTGTATTTTGTTCAGTTTTTGTCATATATATATATATATATATGGTAACACTTTATTACATGTACTTACTATTTTAATAACAATTAATTATGCATAATGACATGCAAGTAACCCTAATCCTAACCATATAGTAAGAACATGAATTAATATCAGTCAGTATGTATAATTACAGTGTAACAAGGACACCTTAATATAAAGTGTAAACCTATATATACTGTATATATATGTAATTATAATTATAATAAACATATAAAACATTAATTATAGTTAATTAAAATGTAAAACATTTTAATGATTAAACTAATTCTTTAAATGATTCATTTAAAGCATTTCTGCAAAAAAACAAACACTTTTCTCAATAATTTTCTCATTCATGATCATGATGATGACATGTCATGATGAAGTGTAAAATTATTAAGCATACTGACACTATAAACATCTTAAAATTTTGGGCTATTTTGCTTCCATAATCTGTCTTCTTTCAGATTTTTGGAAAGAAAACATCCAAAACACACATTTTAGTGTTTATTTTATTTATAGTTTATCTATTTGCGTCTGTAGATTTCAATTGCAGTAGACAAAAGGCTTTTTTTCTCAAAATGATTTTTTTCCCCCTCCTGAGCCGAGCCAGAAATCTCCATTTCAGTCACACTTACATACACCAGTTTTATTCCTATTCATATTGTGAAGGTTTTTACAGAGGGGTTTGTTCATATATCATTCACTTGATACAAATAGATATCCAAAAAAAAAAATAGGCCAACTCTGAAATGTCAACAAAACTAAACAATTCTGAACCTGGCTTTATGCCATGTTCAGATTTCAGTTCTGGAAATGTATGCAAATGAGTGCATATTTAATGAGATCATGCATCATTTGCATATTTAAGCATACCATTAAAAAAAACTCTTAATGTACTTTTAATAATCAACTGGGGAAGTACTTTTATATTTATTAGTTACAGCCTTTACGCTAGTCACCTGTGATGTCTTGCCTTAATGGGAAACCTTTATTTGTAATGATGACAATTTGATGCTTGGATTTCTTATACCTGTTGTGCCACAGCGGCGGCCAGGTTTCCTCCTGCGCTGTCACCCGACACAGCCACTCTTTTCAGGTCTATGGAGTACCGACCCAACACCTCGGATGTCAGAATGTGTTTTGAGGCCTGAAAAACATCATTATACCGTTTCGTGAACCTAGGAGAGGAGGTAATTCTGACTTTGCTATGACAATCTGCCGCTTCTGAATCAGCTACCGTTTTGTTATTAGTTTAAGTATTTGCTATTGACTGTTCAAATGCAGAGTTTTGCGCATCGTGCGCGCGCGCGTGTGTGTGTGTGTGTGAGAGAGAGAGCGAGAGAGACCAGCTTCATCACTGTGTCTGTCACGCGACTCTGTTCCCCTTTCGGGCTCTGTCTTTACATTTATTTTGAAAGATGAAGCTGAGATTATGGTAAGGGGCGTTACATTTCCGACGAGTGCTTGCGGTGTTCGGCCAATCACAATGCACTGGGTCAGCTGGCCAATCAGAGCAGACTGCGCTTGTCGGAAGGAGGGACTACAATAATGTACAGTATTTGAAAAGAATGTGTTTTTTGAACATTAAAGCATGTCAACATATTCTGTTACACCAAATAATGATCTTTAAAAAAGCACCATATGACCCCTTTAAATAATATCTTAGAAGTGTTTCCTTGCTCGACCACGTGAGGGCGCATCGAGACTGCTGAGCAAATCTATTTCTCTCGACCAATGTCCACAACTTAATGTATTCAACAAAAGCCTTCATTTGCATGAAATCATATGCAATTGAATATATAAAACAATAAACTATCACGTCCTTGTACTGTCGAGTGTCCATCCTCCTCCATGGAAATAGACCACGCCTCTTTTAAAGCTCTGCTCCTGCCCTGCAGCAGCTGACTCGAACACTAGTGCTTCCACTCCTCCAAAACATGCTTCTGTGACTCGGACGCTTGGGCTGGACTCGATACTTTTTGCACCCGCCGAATAGTATTTTGCCAACCCAAATGGTGAAGTCAGTCCAAGATCATGAGCTAAAAAGCTCTGAGAGAAAAACAAATACGTTGTGTTTCTGGTCTTTCTATATGCTAAAGTAATAGCATTTATATATAAGTATTTTAATACAAAAATCTTACCAACTTCATCATGCCACGTATCAATGCATCCATAAACATGAGTTTCCATGGCTCTGATATAGTGCTAGGCAGAGGCAGATAAATATAATAAGCGGCTGCTATTGACAGTAAAACCGTCCCGATCAAAACGGGCCGCATTATTAATTATGTTAAAGGAGTATTAAAATGAACCGCAACACAAACGTCTGTGTTCATATAGTGACTGCGTGTATGACACTTCACCTAAATTCGTTTCACATCGTTACATAGAATTAATGAAATCACAGCACTTATTTCATGTTAAAAGTCCTTTGGTCCGTCCTAAGTGATTGTTTACCTTTGACTGCAGTTTTTAGAAGTGATTTTATCTGTCAATGACTTTACATTTATTGCCTCCACTTTTTTTAGATCAGTTAAGTGCATATAACTACTAGTAAATGATTGCAATTATGTTAAATAACACAAAAACGTAACATTTAAATTGTAATCTTTAATAAACGACACGGTAATGTTAAAAGTTGTACTATTTTTTTCCTCAACTGGATTCGGCATAGCGACAGTGACTTTTATTTTGAAATGGTCTTCATGCTCTGTTGGTTGCTTGTGTATCTGCACATCGAATATACGTCAGATATCTGTTTGCACGATCAACTGTGAATGAATATACAGTTGTTTTATGATTGCCCAATATCCAAGCAATTCTGGTCTTGACCTTGGCTCCTATATATTCGATTCGGCCAATGATACTTATTCTTTCAGTCTAAAAGACATTATTTTTTATTATATTGATGATAAAAATAGACCCCTAGAGTATATTGTTAACTTCTTTATTTTATATGGCAAATTCTTTATTCATAAACAAAAGTTTGCAAATAATATTCCATCCTATCCCCATTTTAAAACTGAATTAATATCACTTCTTAAATCTCTTAGTTATATAAATAACAAAAAATCCCAAAGATTTATAAAATATTATGAAGAAATGTTTAAAGAAAATACATGTATTTAAAAGCTTTCCCTGTATATTAATGTTTGTGTGTTATTGTTTCAATAGTGGTAAGGTATGCATTCTTGTGTCTCCTTGTCTTGTCATCTTTTGTTTTCATTGTTTTTTTGTATAATATTTTTGTTTTCTCTCTCTTTGTTTTATTATATGTATTTGTATGTAATTCCTTGACAATGTTCTTATGTTATTGAGCATTAATAAAAAAAAAGAAAAGAAAAAAAAAGAATGAATATAGAGTATTTATGTTTTCATTATTAATTTCAGTCACGCTATTTTACACTTCTAAAAAATTAACAAGTAGACAAGACTACTGATTCGTCTCTTCATTTTCATGATGGATGATTTTGCAATATCATACATATATAATATAACAACAAATATTACATTTAACGCATTTTACATCCATGTTGATGATACAGTGGAATTTGATGGAAGTGTGTAAATATGAAATGTACTGACAGCATAAACAGTCCCAAACAAAGATACAGTATGGCCTGAGGATGTGGAACTTAACTCATTTTGTGCACAAAGCACATTAGTTTTTATGGTAAACCTGTTTCAAATACACACTTGTATGTTGAATAAATTGTATGATCATTAAAATTCATTTATATTACATTTACTTGCCCATATGCTGTTTCACAGATTCTGCTCTGAAAATCAGAGGTACAGTAATGGTTTATTTCCCAAGGAAATAAATGCATGCATTCAGAATGTATCACTCAGTAAGAAATGAGTCTACTTCTTGAGGCCTGGTGATGCGCATCTGTGCAGACGTCATGCCTAGATGCAGCTGCACAAAACTAGGGCAGAGAGCACAATTGCATGCTTGTGTGTGCTCGCATAAATAAAAATGTATACTGCTGCAAGTCTTGAGTGTGAAAGACATGATCTGTCTTGTCTTCCCATCTGCTCATTAACGGAGAAATATGAGAACTACTGCGTCGGGAAAACTAGTGTCTTGTTTTACTTGTTTTTTACTTGTTTCATTTTTTTTTGTATGGGCTTGCTTTGACACTTGTTATTTATATATATATGTATTTGTATATTTATAGAACAATTACTGTCTAACTGGTCATTCTTAATTCTATATTTTTTTTTTCAATAGACATTGTCTATTTTTGGTCACTCTCTGCAGATTAAGAGAAAAATTACATTCTAACTGGTCATTTTTCATTTTTTTAAAATATTTAATATTTTTTAATAGAAATTGTCAATTTGTTTCGGTCACACTCTGCAGATTTTTATAATCTTAATCACATAAAATATTAACAACATAAAATAATTTCCATGATGCTTAAGAATGAATAGATATGGGTTCACATTCAGAAAACCCCTTTGTATAATCTGGATTATCCTGCACTATGTGGCATTACATGCACTTTAAATCCACTGCTACTAAAACAATTGTGTATTGTTACTGAAACATAGTTTCAGTAGCTTTGGGCCTGATCAGTGTGCTTTTCTCCCCATTCATAATCTATTGCATTGACATGTTGCACAGTATTTTAGGTATAAAAACCATTAGTGAATGTTTGAAATCAAAATATATTTGGCTCTGCTAGAGGTTCTCCTTCAACCAGCGGGTGTAGCTCCTAAAACTTCGAAACCCTACAGAAAACCGAAAGGGTCCAAAAGCGAAACTGAGGCATCCATGAAAACCATCTTCAAAGTGATCAACAGTGACGTCCACTCCGGCCTCCTCCAGTCGCGTGGCGTACATGAGTCCGTCGTCTCTCAGCACGTCATGCTCACAGGTCATGATGTAAGCGGGCGGCACGGCCTTCAGCACTTTTGTTTCAGCTAGTAGAGGCGCCGCTCTCACATCCAGCAGACCTGGCAGCTTCTCCAGCAGCTTTGGGTCGCCGTGAAGCGGAAACACAGGTTTATAGCTCTTCTGGAAGGCCACCGGAAGAAGCTTGGTCCAGTCAGTCTTGGCTTTGGCCGCTGCTATCTCCGGGCTTGGAGTTGGAGTTGAGTGGTTGTTTGCCAGCAAAGCAGGAACAAGTCTTGGATCCCCGTTTAGGTACTCCAGCCAGAAGCGAGCCATGAGCGGACGGTGCAGGATGGGAATGTGGCCGTTCTGCTGGTACGAGGGGGTGTTGAAGTCCAAGGCCTGAAGCGCGGGGTAGAGAAGGGCCTGAACTTTGAACTTAATAGGAGCACTATTGTCAAAAGCCATCTGTGAGAAGAGAGACAAAAAATGTGATAAAAAGTGTTTTATTTTCTTTTTCCTTAGTAATGAAAACACAGCCTGCACCTTGAAAAAAAACTCTGCTGATTTACAAAAAAAGGCCTAATATTACCTAATTTAATGACGCCTAAGATAAAATATCATCACATAAAGTTGTTTTTTTTGCAAAATAAAACTGAAAAATATATATATACTATAACACTACACTTATATATACTATA